GTAATTAAAGGTTAGTCACAGGAGCCAGGCAGAAAAAAGCAAGGCAGGTCTAGGAAACTGAATAAGAGAGGGTTAAGAGTGTATAGGTATGTCTTGCTCCAGAACGGGGTGTAGTTCTAGGTCTCTCCAAGTATCTTTTTTTTTTTTTTTTTTTTTTTTTTTTTTTTTTTTTTTTTTTTTTTTTGAGCTGAACATTGATACACATTACTGTTCTAGCATAAAATTTATTGATGATAAAGTATGCAGCAGATGAGGGAAGCATTCCAGCCATTTTGCTGGCAGGTTCCAGGATCCCCTCACAACCAATGGTAGAACTGGGCCCCTAAACAGATTCTACCCATCCCTCAGCTCATAATCCGATCAAATCCCCATCGTTGGACATAGGGAACCCTTGGGCTAGGGTTCCATTGGTGAGACCAATGGAAGATGGATTTTGAAAGGTTATGTAATGCAGAAGCAGACAAAGAAGATCAAAGTGCACAATAGTTATGAGAACTGTATGAGCAGCAACAGAGAAAAATAGCAACTCCCCCAATTGGTTTTCAGCCTTTATATCGTTTCCCAGCCTCAAACTGCAAAGCACTAATATAAGTTAGCTCTTCTACTCCATTCATTTAATCCTCAGTGCTTCTCTTCTCAGAATACCTTGGTACCTTCTAAGTTGTTGTTGTTGATGTATGCCTTCAAGTCTTTTCCAATTTACGGCAACCCTAAGATGACGCTATAAGGGGTTTTCTTGGCAAGTTTCTTCAGAGAGGATTTGCCATTGCCATCTTCTGAGGCTGAGAAAGTGTGACTTGCTCAGGATCACCCAGTGGGTTTCCATGGCCGAGCCAGGATTCAAACCCTGGTCTCCAGAGTTATAATCCAACGTTCAAACCACTACACCACACTAGCCTTCTAAGTATCTCATCACATTACAATCCCTGGATTCCTTAGGATGGTTACTAGTAACAATGGTTACTAAAGTGATGTGAAACTGATATCATTCTTTAGTGCAGATATACCTTAAAATTCAGCAATGTTGTATGTGTTTGGTGCCATTTTTTTCAAAGATCCAGCATTTTGTGATTCACGTCCAGTCCCAAAAAGGTGTGCATTCTGCAACCTATAAGAATTTTATACATACAGGCCATTTTTCAGTAATTTTCAAGATCCCTAAATTAACTTGTGCTTCCCTTGAGGGGTCAGCTAGATGTTTCTTATTTAAACAATTGGAATAATCTAGAGCTCTGTTATAGGAACACAGGAAGCTGCCTTTATACTGAGACCATTGATTCCTCTTGTTCAGTGCTGTGTATTCTGTCAGTGGTTCTCAAGGATTTCAGACAGCGTTCTTTATTAGGCATACCTGAAGATAACAGGGATTGAGCAAAACGATTTACTTTACCCCAGTACTACATCTTTTCCTATCAAGTAGTTTGTTCTGCCATTTCTTCAATCTCTGACCTCTTTGTGGATTCCTTACTTAAATGGATTGGTTTTTCTGATCACTTCATGACAGATAGAAGCTGTCACTGTTGGACTTTTGCCTATTGTGCATCTTCCAGAGTCACGGGGCATCCATCAAGGAAATGGGGTTAACCCTATTTCAGACTGTCATTTCTGGGCAGAATTCTGTGCACTTGGGAACACTTGCTGTGTAACACACTTCTCAATGTGCATTTTTCCCTCCCTAGGGCCACCATCTCTGGCCAAGTGCAAGGCCTTGAAGCAGAAACGTGAAGAAGCAGCTGAGGTGGCTTCACTGGACCTCAGCAACATTATCTCCACAAAAGGTAAAGGTGATGCAATTGGAGGAAACAAGGGGTCTGACAAGTGGTGTAACAGTCTTGGTCAGTGGATGGGAACATGGAAACATTCAGAAGCAAACTGCTAATTTTTCTGTTTTAATTCTCTTTCTGTGTGCTTAGCTTCTACTCTGGTCACATATTAATGTGGGGGAAAGGAAATTAGAGGAATTATTTGTGATATACTTCTTCCCAATCAAGATTTAAATACATTAGCTTTCCACTTGCTTTCAAGTGTTTGTTCTTTATCCCTGTATTGATATCAGAACAATTTGGGTGTGGGTTTTTTTTTTTGTGGTTTTTTTTTATTTTTTTTTTATTTTTTTATATTTTTTTGTATCTTATTTTTGAGCACAAATAATGAAAACTATTATTTTGGTTAACAAAGTAAATACTACAGATATTCCACTTTGTTCCTCATATTTTTCTTTTTTAACCTACATGAAAGAATAGCTGGAGAGCATGGATGAAGGCTGCATTTTAGGAATGTCAACAGATGGTAGATTAGGATTACTGGTAGATTTCTATGTGATTTACAGTAGGTCATCCCAAGAGAAAAATACTATGGCCTGTATTCTCTTATCAGCTACTTAACTATGTAGCTTCTCTTGCTCCATCCCAAACTTGACAGAAACATTATTCAGCTATACTCTGATTGCCAGCATAATGGACCTCCTTCTCCCCATGCCGTTTGGTGCCCAGTAAAGTAGATTGATGACGACAGTAGTGTTAAAATCATGACTAAGTAGTGATTGTGAATAACAGTTTAACATTCACAAACACTACTTAGTCACAGTTTTGACGCTTTTGTCACAGTCATAAATTCCACCAGCCTTACTTTACTGGGCATCAACAGCATGAGGAGGAGGATATCTATTCTACCAGTGGTCACAGCATGGGGGAGGTCAAGCCTGGAGAGGTCAGTTAGATATGATTAAGTATACTTGCATAAGTATATTTAACTTAATAGTTAACTAGGTAGGGAATATAGGCCCATGGTACTTAATTAGTATATATCTGCTACAGTACAATTATGTATCTGTATCTAATGATAGGTCTGAGGTTTCTAGTTAAAAAACCACCACTAAATTAGATTCTGAATTCCAGATCTAGATGGGAGGGAACTGAAATCAGTGGTTCCCAAAATGTTGATCTCCAAAAGTTGTTAGGAAGTAGGCTCAAGTCTACAAAAGCTCTTGCTACGAGCTTCTTTCTTTCAATTAATTGTGAAAGTGTTACTAGACCCCTTTGCATCCAAATGTTGTTCAGCTCTGTCTTCCAGAAACCCTTACCCACTAGCCCTGCTGGCTGGAAGCTGACTTCTGGAGACCCGACTTTTGGAACCACTGATATATATATTTAAAAAAGGAAGGGGTGTAACTTTTGTTGTTGTTTGCCTTCAAGTATTTTCCAAATTATAATAATAATAATAATAATAATAATAATAATAATAATAATAATAATAATAATAATAATAATAAATTTTATTTTTACCCCGCTTTTCCAAAATAGATCAAAGCAGCTTACAAAGAATTAAAAAGAGTAATACAAGTAAAGATTAAAAGCCAATCCAACAAAAAACAAGAATCGGCAAAAATTACAAAATCAGGGAGGAGTAAAAACAATCCGGGGTCAACAGAATGGTACATGGAGAAAAGATACTGTTACTAAGATGGGAAAGCCAGACAGAATAAGTACGTCTTTAGATTTTTCCTAAAAGAGGCTAAAGAAGCAGAGGAGAGGAGCGGAGAAATTATAACCTTTCACTTGGTTTTCTTGGCAAAATTTGTTCAGATGGGGTTTGCCTTTGTCTTCCTCTGTGGCTGAGAGAGTGTGACTTGCCCAAGATCAAGCAGTGAGGATTCAAACCCTGGTCTCTCGAGTCATAGTCTATCCCCAAGCTACTACACCACATTGGTTCTCTAGGTATGGAATAGGCATTGCCTAGTGAGTTTTGGGAATGCCAAGAGTCCATTTGTTTTGAAAGTATGTGCTTATATCTTGTGAGGTAGACAGAAAAGTAAGCTTGGCCCATAGAAGCTTACAACTGTGTGTGAACGTGATCCACAGTTGTCACTTTTTTATGAAAAACTCTCCTCTTCCACAGGCCGTCCCAGGCGTCGTAATGTCTGGAGTCTCTACAGCAAACCTGAGGAGCCCCCCAGTTCACCAGAGGAACCACCTATCCATCGTCCTGCGACAGACTGGTCCCACCTTCGTGGGGTCATCAGTTCAGATGGGGAAAGCAGTTGATTTGGGGCAGGCAGGGGGCGTTGATGGTTCAACCATCTGGCTGTGAGGAGAAGTGTGAGTCTGACGGATTGGACAACCAAGAAGGCTAGGGTACTTCTTTTTACATTCCGAATATAAGCTAGAAGACAAAAGCTGTCACCGTTTTGTCAATGATGCTGTCTTCGATTATCAAGAAAAGAAGAGGGAGGCATGATTGCCTGTTAAAGGCAAATACTTATATCTATCTGAAAACATACCTACTCTTGAGGGAAGAGATGCAGAAGGATGGAGATAATCAGTTCCTTGAAAAATACCTGACTTTTTCAGATACCATTATTGATGCTCGTTTTATCATTTTTGCCATCAATTTTCTTCCCAAGACTGAACAGGAGTATAAGCATGTATTGGAAGAGGTGGGGTTTGGTGTGAATTTTATTCCATATTAACCCATGAGTCTCTTTCTATGTCTCTGAGGCATATTTTTGCCCTTTCTTTTGGCACAGCCTAAAGGAAAATGATTCATTCTGGACTAAATGCCACAAGTTTGGATGTGGACAAATGTGCCTATGGAACATGTTTACCTATTGTTGTAAATGTTGTGAGTTGGAAATTTTATATGGCTGAAAAAAAAATTGAAATGTTTTTATATCCCTTACTTAAATAAAATCTCTTTTGGACTTCTATCCCAGAGATGTTTCTGGTAAAGCTCATCCTCTTTTTGTACCACTGCATTCTTTCTGAACTGACTTCTCATTGCATTTAATTCACTGTAATCAGGAATCTGGCACAGAATCTGGATCCCTGGAAAAGTCTTATTTGTTGTCATGTACCTTCAAGTCATTTCTGATTATAATTCTAAAGTGAACGTATCACAGGCTTTTCTTGACCAGATTTGTTCTGGGGGCAGGAGGGGGGAGTTGCCCTTGCCGCCCCTCTGAGGCTGAAAGGGTGTGACTTGCCTAATGTCACCCAGTGAGTTTCCATGGCTGAACAGGGATTCGAACCCTAGTCTCCAGAGTCATAGTCAAATGCTCAAACCACTACACCACAATGGTTCCTTATTTTAAAAGGGATAGTTTTTTGATCTCATGAAACAAAATCACCACCATGTAGGGAGGAGTGTGTGGCCCACATGACTACAGCTGTTTTTCTTTGGCAGGATTCCATGTTGCAAAGGAGCACATTTAAGTGAGATGATGCTACACAACTGCTTATACTCATGGGACAGAGATTGTGGTGCAGTTGAATACATTCACACACTTTCTCCTCTATGATGGGTCACACTACCAGGATGTATCTTTGTGGCACTGGATGTGCATATGAAAAGGTCTTTGTCTTCCCTTCCAGCCTCTGCATATGCTACCCAAAACAGATTCCTTAACTACCAAGTTCTCCAGTCAGTTTGTTCTATAACGTACATTGTTACATTACATACTATGCTTAGGTATTTATGGGAGAGGACTTCATAATTTCTTTAAAAATGTAAGGTTATAATATGCCTTTAAGTTGATTCTGACTCATCATGGCCACCCGATACTAGGGTTTTCTTGGCAAACTTTAATTCCAAGGTTTGTCATTGCCTTCATCTGAGGCTGTTAGTTGTAAATGTTATGTGGCTGAAAAAGATTTGAATTTTTAAAATATCTCAAACGTTTGGGCTTCAAAGTCATAGAGCTTTCAGGTGGGTTTCCATGGCTAAACAGGGATTCAAACTCTGGTCCTAATTCTAATCCAGAGCTGAGGTACCTTTATTAAGACCAAACTGAACAAACATTTGAGTTTCCCAGGCATGTCCATCCAGTTAGCTGGCACATGGGGGGGGTTATTGTTGTGGCCATGAGGTCTGCAGTTCATATAGTTTGTTGATTGAAAGCTCAGCATTAAGTGGATTGCAAGATCGGGGCCTGATGGCCGAGCAGGTTGCTGCCCTTTGGTGCCCAGTGTGATCAGCTGTTTTATGTAAAGTTGTCCCATTACATCAATTTAATCCACAATTACAGTAATTATTTTTAAAGACAGCACTCTGGCCAAGTCTCCTCCCTGGACCTCACAGAAAGGCGCATTACATTAGGTACACTCTTGATGTCTCTAGCTCAGTAATGTATTTACTTTACCATGACTGGCAGCAGTTAGCTTTGATCGCAGGTAAACACTTTTTTTTCATCTGTAGATGAAAAAGTAGAACCACTCTTCCACTGAGCCCCACTCCTATCAGGAATGTAGCTAAAGGGAAAGACAAAATGAAGGCATTGCACCTCACACAGTAAATTCTCAAATTTCTAGCACTGAAGTAACTTAAAACTCCAGTCAAGCATTTAGAAGCACAATTTAGACATTCAGAGTAAAAGGGCAGGGAAGGTTACAAGGGGCAGTCCAAGGGAATGATACAGCAAATATAAAGTATGATTGATTTTCAGTATCTCTGCAACACTAGAAATTTGGGGACTGGAATTACATTTTAACTGGGAGACAGAATTTTTACCATAGCTATACCCTAGACTCCTAGACTTCATCTTTCCACACACTCAAATATGGCATCATTTCATAAAGCCAAGCAAGCCAAAAAATAAAACAGAAACCAGCTTCTTTGCTTTTTCATTTTTATTAATATATTTTGTGACTGAACTGAAGCCATATGAAATCCTAACTTTTAATTAATATAGAGACTTTTTTCCTTTTAATCCTCTTCTATGTACAAAGTTTACAGAAATGGAGAGGCTTTATATATTTATATATACACATATATACCACTCAAAAGGAAGACCAGCTTATGCTCGGAGCCCTATAATAAGTTCCTTAGTGATAGCTGCAGTTCTACTCGTGGGCTTAATCCATAGACATGTTTGCATGACCCTTGAGTTAGCATGGATTATATTTGGTCTGAAAAGGTCTCACTCCCTCTCCTATTTGTTAGACACCCACTACGATGCTGGCAATTTGGGGAGATTTTTCAATCTTGAGTTTTGTGCCTAGTTTTTTAAAGAATGAGATGGCTGGCGATATGATTAATGTCATCACTTTCAGCTCCTTCCTCAGTGTAATTCTATTGCTTAAACAGCTGGAAAATAGGCAAAGCGAAAATGAGATCCTGAGAATGCACAAAGTAAATGTGTGACTGAGAAAGCTTTGTTTTTGGATTGGAAGAAGGCCCATATAATAATAACCTTTCACTCAAGTATATTCTAATCTTGCTTTTGAATTTTGCATTTTTCCCCAGTTTAAAGCAGGGGCTGGCAATTGTGTCCATCCTCTAGAATATCGCTGGATGATGAGTCCCAGCATTCACCACCATTGGTGGCTACTGATGGGAATTGCAATCCAACATATGGAGAGCTATTTTCACACTTGATTGAAAGTGTCAAACACATGTATAAAGTTTTATTCAAAATTTTCATTTTTATTTTTTTTGCAGGTGCTATTGGTCTCTTCCTTAAGTGAACTTTTAGCAGCTAATAAATTTCACACAAGAAACTACTGAAGTAATTATTTGCCTATTAAGTAAACCTAAAGGGTCCCTAAATGTTCCAAAAAAGTGCCTCCACCCCCAAAAATGGTACTTCTATATTTTCAAAACACTTGTCATTGTCATCAAATTACAACTCACAAGCTGAAACTAAGTAAGAGGAGAATGGGTTATTGCCTAACAACTTAATAAAAGCTCCAATTTGCTACATAAATGTATGTACCAGATGACATCCCTCCCTCAACATGCACATTAAATATCCCAGAATGTAAATCATATGGCCTTCCAGATGTTGTTGGACATAGCCAGCACAACTAATGCTAAGCTGCAATCCAACAACATCTTGGAAGACCACATGACTGCCATCCCTGAAATGCTCCACTTGTTTATTCAAGGTATAATGAAGAGAGACAGCTTTCTAGGGGCCTAGAGCCTTTCAACAAGGTTTCTTCTTCTCTTCAAGAAACTAAGGGCCTCAACAGACTGCCAGAAATAATCCCATCTTGAGACCACTTTAACTGCCCTGGGTCAGTGCTAGGGAATGATGGGAACTGTAGTTTATTGTGGCACCAGAGCTCTCTGACAAAGATGGCTCAGTGTCTCAGAAAAAACTATAATTCCCATGATTCCCTAGAATACAGCCAGGACACTTAAAGTGGCCTCAAGATGGATTATTTCTGGCAGTCTGTTCAGGCCCTGAGTGACTTTTTGAGTAGAGGTTTTCTGTGAGAATGAGGAGATTAACAATCCCATCCTCACAGGTACACATAAGTCACAGTTCTTCGAGAAACCATAAAACATTCTTCTCCCAATAAACAATCCTTTCCCCAAAACCCAGACTGGTTTACCAACCACTTTAACCTATAATCTCTTAAGCTTCTAGAACTTTCTAGCTAGGCCTGACTTAAATGCAGAGGCCTAGTAGTAAATTGCTCTGAAAGGTACACGAAGGCTGAAACCTCCAAAAATGAGGCTGAAACAAATTATTTGATCTGGAAAGAAAACAACATTGTGAAACTGCTACTAAACCACTCCTTGTATAATCACCAAAAAAAATGGTAATAATAATGAGAGTGCTAGAAATTGCCGTGTACAAGATGGTTTCTTTTTGAAAACAAAGGGCCTAGTGAGCGCTGATAGCTAAGCCCATTCAAGGTGGATTACTTCACAGGAGAAACTTCCTTACAACAAGGGGTCTCTTAATTTAGATTTTTCTTAATAAGTGAGAATTTAAAATGCTGGGCCATTGCCCTTCAATAACTCCTTTCAAGCATTTGTACCTCCAAAGCATCCTCAACTGAGCTCAGGGCTTAAAGGTCCCCAGCTCCATTTTGAAATACAGAATAAGTTTTCATATGACTGAACTGAGTATTTGTTCAACCTCTGATACCTTCCAACCATGGTTGTCTTAGAAAACTTTCAAATGGAAACTGCCTTTCTCTTGTACTATAAAATTTTGCTCCTAACCACAGCACAATTGCCTTTTTGTTGTTGTTCCTTCTGTAACCATAAAGCTTTAAAACACACATTAATTCCTGTTTCTAATGACAGAAGCTTTTCTCAGGAATATTTACTTTCTTGTAAGGTATTTTTAGAAAACCACCCTGTTCTTTTATACACACACACAAAAACACACACTTTGTTCCTGAGGTGGGGAAGGGAGAGGAATGGGCTTTTGATATTAAACTGGTTATCAGAAATAGATGTATCTGTACTTAAGACCCTTTCCAATAATAATAAAAAGTACCCTGCTTGGTGCTCTTTGTGCTTCACAACTTTAAATGAGCTCTATACTGAGATAATACTGACATCTCTCTTTTCCTCCCTACATGTGGATTTCTCTGTGTTTAAATAGCATACTAAAATCAGAATTCATCACACCTATGAGCCAGATTGCTAAATCTAGTTAAATTATTGTAGTAAAGTTTCTGTCCACGTTCTGGTGATGAAATTTTCTCTCCATTGTTGTAAGTGCTATTATCTTCAGCTTCTTCATTTCTGTCTCCTTATTGGTGGAGCAGTCCTTGAAGATTGTGTTTTCGGAAGAATTTTAGTATTAGTTCCCATCATTTTAATGTGTAAACTTCACTCCCTGAGAGCGAAAGTGTATTGTGTTTAAAGTAAACCCAGGCCTTGTCGCTGGGAAATAGTTCTAGTGCTCTACCTCAGAAAGATTATTATTTTTCCTTTCTCCTCACAAAGAAAGCATCAATTTAATAAAACCTTGGAGCCTCTGTTTTCGTTAGAAATGCTACCTGTACTTTGTTTTGAACCATCTTCCCAGAATACAAGCAAGATATAAATTCATAGCAACATCTGTCATGGCAGAACCAAACATCAAAGACTACCACATTGAACAGCTCAAGTGACTCAAATCTTTTCCATAATCTACTGATATTGCAAGGTCTTACAAAAAGACTATCATAACAGAATTTGTCATCAAGCTCCACCCTGTCAGAAGGTCTTATTAGTGGTCCTAACAGGGTGGAATATTTTGACCCTAAATCCAAGAAGCCCACCACCCAACCATCTTCCCAAAGTTGCCCAGCGTCTATCTCAAGTTCCACAAGGGGACCAACCCACGGGTCTCCT